TAGATTCAGTGTTGATCGTCGCATGTTAAAGTTTCGTTTGCTCGGTTAAGAAACTCGCAAGTTTCTTTTATTCGGTTTAAACWTGTGCTCATCGTCATCCTAAGGGTAGGAGACCCATCCTGCATTCATCCTGCATCCATCAAAGGTAGTATATTTTTCTATTAAACATTTTCTCAATAATTTTAATAATTTTTATATAACAATGATTTATATAATTTTCTTTTTATGTGTGTTTCAGATCAACGTTGGAATGGTATATTCACATTTTATTTATTAAATTCATTTGGAAATTCGTTTAACACTAGATTTTTTCACTATTTTTTAAAAATTTACAAACATTGCTTAAATGAAAAAGTGGGTAGAGGAGAGGAATTAATATTTCTGCATATTTCATTACAGCATTAAAAATTAACATATATTTAAAAAATAATAATATTTCTATTTTATATATATGTAACAAAAAAGTTTGAAATGAATCAAATTTGCTCAGTCCATAAATCTAGTGTTAATTGAATTAATTTCATGTAATGCAGTTTTATAGTCATTATTTGTGCATGGTCATCGTCATCCTAAGGATAGGAGACCTATTGTGCATTCATCAATAAAGATTTAAAGTGAGTATATTTTTGTATTAAATAATTCCTYAAAAATTTTAATGATTTTCTGTAATAGTAATGATATTAATAGTATTGTCTTTTATTTCAGTTTCAGATTGCAATCGTGCACGAATGGCCCATGTGAAGTGACCAAGAGTGAAATTTTTGTTCTTGCATTTGACTGCGAGCAATGCAGTCTTTGAATTAGTGCAGTCTAGAATCAGTGATCGGGCGAGTAATAAGTTAAAATCAAACGCGAATTACAGTCAGTGTTGTTCGTCGTATAATAAAATTTCGGTATCGCGATAAGAAACTCATCTATAGTTTCTTATTTTCGTATAAACCGCGTTTTTAGATTCACGCGAGGTGCATCACCATGGTGCAATAGAGCTGCATCTCATTGGAATGCATTGTAAGTATTCATTTGTATTTACATCTTATTCGATTTTTTTTTATATGATTTTGAATAATATTTCAGATAACTTATGGTTTTGTTCTATTTTATTTTACAGATATAACCATGGATTCTCTTCCTTTCAAAGATGTTGGATGAATTCTTCGATGGATTTTTGGTGGATCTTCGATGGATCTTCTTCAATGGCAAATCGAGTAATATCTTCCATCGTCAGACTATAATACTTGCTGCGAAGTAGGAGTGTTTTGGAGCCATCGCAGAACTTCCTAAACCGTGAGTTTTTATTTAAAGTCCCTCCGGTGCTCAATCATGCCGAGGATGAAAGGTCCAAATCGGCACGAGTTACTGGTTGTAATTATTTAAATGAATTATTGACGAGCACATGAGTAATTCCTTTTTAGGAGTTACTCATGAAAATTGTATATTTTATTGTATGTTTTATTATTAGTTCAGGATAGGTT